TTAGTGGCTTGGTATTTGCTTTACTCTGACTTTTGTTTTCAGCACATAGTAACTCATGTTGGATAATGCCAAGCCTGGATTTGGTTGAGCGATCAATGTTTTACCTTTGGGTTCTGTTTAATATGTTGAGTGTCCAGCTCTTCTTGCTTTTATTTGTGTTGTGTTACGTGTATTGTGTCTAGAGCAACTCAAGCTGGCGGTGCTCTGGGAGGCATAGTTCTTCAATATGTGTTGCAATTTAAACATAATAGAAGAAATTGATTTCAATGATTTCATCACAAGTGTTAACGGACTCACCAACGCTAAGACTCATCCAACCACTCAACTTTCACCTCCAGTCACTTGACTGTATATATTCTTTCCTCTCAGTAAACTGACCGAACTCTGCTAGTATTTATTGATTCTAAATATCCATCTGTATGAGAGAATATCTGCTTGTCGTCCGAGGTGGAGGCTAGACACACACAGAGATCACACTAACGTGATGCATCAAATGAATCAGCTCAGTCGATTAAGGCAGTGTCTGGGATGCTCCCGGACGCAGGTTCGAATCCTCGTCACGGCCCTTGTGGATTTGTTCGTGAAGGCTAGACAATTGGTGCTTCACCATTAATGTTTTGCAGGATTAATAATGAATTTGTCGGCAGTGATATCGGCGGCTTTGGGTCGGCTGACTGCCCCTCGAGCTGACGCCATGGCCTACTGCCCTTCTCTCATGAAGTCTGTGAAAGTGAAATATACAGCGTCGAGTCCGTAGACTTTACCGCGATTTTAGGTAATCGTGAACTGAGATTTTTGTTTCTAAATGTGTTCAGATGAGTGATAGGCATTCTGGGTGTTGAGTTTTGTTTGCAGTTAGGAGGGGGTAGGCGTTCGTGGGCAGGGAGGGAGGGAGGCGTCGCGAGCAAACACCCTATCTACTCCAAGCAAGTGCGTGCTTGGAGTAGATAGGGTGAATATAAACAAATCCACAAGGGCCGTGACGAGGATTCGAACCTGCGTCCGGGAGCATCCCAGACACTGTCTTAATATATATATATATATATATATATATATATATATATATATATATATATATATATATATATATATATATATATATATATATATATATATATATATATATATATATATTATTAATATGACCGAAAAAGTAAGATTAATAATTCTAACACGAATCGATAGATACAGCGATAGCAGGCGGCTTGACGTTTGCGAGGCACTACACATCAAGAAGTCAACACCAGCAATCAACAGCCAATTATTGCACAACTATATTCTACCCACCTCAAGACTCCGCTCCAATATAGAAGCATCAAGAAATATGGACCAATAGGCTTTCTACAAACACTTCTATTCAATATCCATTGTTTCGTGTTCTGTCTTGTGTTGATGCAATTAATACCCTATTAATACTCTTGTTCTGTCTTGTGTTGATGAAATTAATACCCTATTAATACCACATCTTGTTCTGTCTTGTGTTAATGCCACATCACCCCTTCCACCTCACTCAAATGTAGATATAAAATCGGAGATGCGTAAGTTCTATTCAGTTGTGTATTTGTGAACTAAAGTCTTTGAAAATGTAATAAGTTTTACGAAACGCGCTCGTGTCGCGTCAGACTAGAAATAAAAATGAATTTTGGAGAATTGATTTTTGATTTACCTCCAACAGTGAAACGAAATGTACGAAAGATTGAGAAAATTCGTGTTTGAATTATTAATCTTACTTTTTCGGTCATATTTAATAATATATGTCTACAGGAAAGACTGCTACCAAAATATATATATATATATATATATATATATATATATATATATATATATATATATATATATATATATATATATATATATATATATATATATATATATATATATATATGTCGTACCTAGTAGCCAGAACGCACTTCTCAGCCTACTACGCAAGGCCCGATTTGCCTAATAAGCCAAGTTTTCATGAATTAATTATTTTTCGACTACCTAACCTACCTAACCTAACCTAACCTAACTTTTTCGGTTGCCTAACCGAACCTAACCTATGAAGATAGGTTAGGTTAGGTTAGGTAGGGTTGGTTAGGTTCGGTCATATATCTACGTTAATTTTAACTCCAACAAACAAAAATTGTCCTCATACATAATGAAATGGGTAGCTGTATCATTTCATAAGAAAAAAATTAGAGAAAATATATTAATTCAGGTAAACTTGGTTTATTAGGCAAATCGGGACTTGCATAGTAGGCCGAGAAGTGCGTTCTGGCTACTAGGTACGACATATATATATATATATATATATATATATATATATATATATATATATATATATATATATATATATATATGTATATATGTATATATATGGGAGGTCATCTATAAGGTCTGTGACAGGAGAGTGTGGGGTAGAAACCTGGACACAGGATAGACCCGGGAACTGCCGGTTACCCCATCTATTACAATAATACACACAATATATCCAGCAGTAAAAAGAGGTATTTAACTAGATAATTTACAACAAACAATATCCCAGACAAAATCCATCAATTCTAGAATTAATACTAGCAGCTCTATGACGGACCCATTAACCCATAGGTACATTATATCACAGGATTTAGCGATCAGCCAGATTTATATAAAAAAAAATTAGCAGACATGACTTCCTTCAAAAAAGTGAATATAAACAGAATATATATATATTTTAAAGTAAATGAGAACAGCACTAAGGAGAAATTATTATTACGTTCTGAGAACACATTACAGGTGTGGGACTCTGCTTATCTTGCAGGTGTATGAAGGTGTGGGAATAATTTAAGAAGTTAGCATACAAACTTGATCTTACGAGGTCCGGTACAGACACACCACTAGTGAGTGCTCCGCTCCTCATGGGTATGAGGTGCTTGCTCGCCAAATTATGGCGCGTGGAAAGTGACTTTGATGATATTGCTTGCATGTTTGGCTAATGTATTGCGTGTTCAACACCTGCTGTTGCTTGCATGTGTGCATCTAGCGTGCTGCAGGTCTTGCACCCCATGCTGTGGAGTGAGTGTCTGGGTGGCGTCCCATGCTGTGGAGTGAGTGTCTGGGTGGCGTCCCATGCTGTGGAGTGAGTGTCTGGCTGGCGTCTCATGCTGTGGAGTGAGTGTCTGGGTGGCGTCCCATGCTGTGGAGTGAGTGTCTGGCTGGCGTCTCATGCTGTGGAGTGAGTGTCTGGGTGGCGTCCCATGCTGTGGAGTGAGTGTCTGGCTGGCGTCTCATGCTGTGGAGTGAGTGTCTGGGTGGCGTCCCATGCTGTGGAGTGAGTGTCTGGCTGGCGTCTCATGCTGTGGAGTGAGTGTCTGGGTGGCGTCCCATGCTGTGGAGTGAGTGTCTGGCTGGCGTCTCATGCTGTGGAGTGAGTGTCTGGGTGGCGTCCCATGCTGTGGAGTGAGTGTCTGGGTGGCGTCCCATGCTGTGGAGTGAGTGTCTGGGTGGTGTCCCATGCTGTGGAGTGAGTGTCTGGGTGGCGTCCCATGCTGTGGAGTGAGTGTCTGGGTGGCGTCCCATGCTGTGGAGTGAGTGTCTGGGTGGCGTCCCATGCTGTGGAGTGAGTGTCTGGGTGGTGTCCCATGCTGTGGAGTGAGTGTCTGGGTGGTGTTCCATGCTGTGGAGTGAGTGTCTGGGTGGCGTCCCATGCTGTGGAGTGAGTGTCTGGGTGGTGTCCCATGCTGTGGAGTGAGTGTCTGGGTGGCGTCCCATGCTGTGGAGTGAGTGTCTGGCTGGCGTCCCATGCTGTGGAGTGAGTGTCTGGGTGGTGTCCCATGCTGTGGAGTGAGTGTCTGGGTGGCGTCCCATGCTGTGGAGTGAGTGTCTGGGTGGTGTCCCATGCTGTGGAGTGAGTGTCTGGGTGGTGTCCCATGCTGTGGAGTGAGTGTCTGGGTGGTGTCTCATGCTGTGGAGTGAGTGTCTGGGTGGTGTCCCATGCTGTGTAGTGAGTGTCTGGCTGGCGTCTCATGCTGTGGAGTGAGTGCCTGGCTGGCGTCTCATGCTGTGGAGTGAGTGCCTGGCTGGCGTCTCATGCTGTGGAGTGAGTGTCTGGCTGGCGTCTCATGCTGTGGAGTGAGTGCCTGGCTGGTGTCTCATGCTGTGGAGTGCCAGGCCGGAGCAATACACCGTAAATGCCTCAATAACACCTCATAAAAGATATAAACATGAAATTATATATTATGAGGTGAATGTGAGACTCTCACACGCCTGGGAACCTCTCACGCCTCGTGTTCCTGTGAGATTAACTAATATTATCATCCCTCAATTGATTCACGAAGTAGTTACGCAAGCACTTACGAACGTGTACATCTTTCCTCAATCTTTGACGGCTTTGGTTACATTTATTAAACAGTTTACAAGCATGAAAACTTGCCAATCAACTGTTGTTATTGTTATAAACAGCCTCCTGGTGCTTCGGGGCTCATTAACTGTTTAATAATTGTAAACAAAGCCGCCAAAGATTGAGTAAAGATGTACAGGTTCGTAAGTACTTGCGTAAGAGCTTCATGAATCTGGCTCCAGTTGACGGGACAAATGTCTCATTTTCTAAGACAAACCACGAAATAAGAATTTCTTTGAATGATTCACTAACCTAATTTAGGATTAGTGTTAGCATTGCCTAACATGATGGCATGTTTGGAGTGCTAGGAGTTAGTGTTTAGTCTCGGGATTTCTGACAAAAGGAGCTGGGATATGAGGACAAGGAGCTGGGATATGAGGACAAGGAGCTGGGATATGAGGACAAGGAGCTGGGATATGAGGACAAGGAGCTGGGATATGAGGACAAGGAGCTGGGATATGAGGACAAGGAGCTGGGATATGAGGACAAGGAGCTGGGATAGTAGGGCAAGGAGCTGGGATATGAGGACAAAGATCTAGGATAGTGTAACAAGGAGCTGGAACAGGAGCACAGAGTGTGTCCAGCGCCCATTCAGTACACATGTATCCACCCCCATAAGTGTATGTATCTCTACCCACAGCTACGACCTGCGTCCCGGGACAGGAGGAAGCCACTGGGTGGACGAGACTGTCCTTGGAACTCGAGCCCGTCTAGACGTCAGTGCCAGCCCGGCTCGCCTCGTCCTCTCAGACGTCAGAGTCTCGGACGCCGGCCGCTACAAGTGTAGAGTCGACTTCCGCTACGAACCTACCAAGACGACTCGTGTCAACCTTGATGTTGTAGGTGAGGCAGTGGTTCCTGGTTCACTGTGTACATGACCACTGATGTGTGGTTCACTGTGTACATGACTATTGATGAGTGGTTCACTGTGTACATGACTACTGATGTGTGGTTCACTGTGTACATGACCACTGATGTGTGGTTCACTGTGTACATGACTATTGATGAGTGGTTCACTGTGTACATGACTACTGATGTGTGGTTCACTGTGTACATGACCACTGATGTGTGGTTCACTGTGTACATGACTATTGATGAGTGGTTCACTGTGTACATGACTACTGATGTGTGGTTCACTGTGTACATGACCACTGATGTGTGGTTCACTGTGTACATGACTATTGATGAGTGGTTCACTGTGTACATGACTACTGATGTGTGGTTCACTGTGTACATGACTACTGATGAGTGGTTCACTGTGTACATGACCACTGATGTGTGGTTCACTCTGTACATGACTATTGATGAGTGGTTCACTGTGTACATGACCACTGATGAGTGGTTCACTGTGTACATGACCACTGATGAGTGGTTCACTGTGTACATGACTACTGATGAGTGGTTCACTGTGTACATGATTATTGATGAGTGGTTCACTGTGTACATGACCACTGATGAGTGGTTCACTGTGTACATGACTACTGATGAGTGGTTCACTGTGTACATGACTATTGATGAGTGGTTCACTGTGTACATGACCACTGATGAGTGGTTCACTGTGTACATGACCACTGATGAGTGGTTCACTGTGTACATTACTACTGATGTGTGGTTCACTGTGTACATGACTATTGATGTGTGGTTCACTGTGTACATGACTATTGATGTGTGGTTCACTGTGTACATGACTACTGATGTGTGGTTCACTGTGTACATGACTATTGATGAGTGGTTCACTGTGTACATGACTATTGATGAGTGGTTCACTGTGTACATGACTATTGATGAGTTGTTCACTTTGTACATGACTATTGATGAGTTGTTCACTTTGTACATGACTATTGATGAGTTGTTCACTTTGTACATGACTATTGATGAGTTGTTCACTTTGTACATGACCACTGATGTGTGGTTCACTGTGTACATGACTACTGATGTGTGGTTCACTGTGTACATGACTACTGATGAGTGGTTCACTGTGTACATGACTATTGATGTGTGGTTCACTGTGTACATGACTATTGATGTGTGGTTCACTGTGTACATGACTATTGATGAGTTGTTCACTTTGTACATGACCACTGATGTGTGGTTCACTGTGTACATGACTACTGATGTGTGGTTCACTGTGTACATGACTACTGATGTGTGGTTCACTGTGTACATGACTACTGATGAGTGGTTCACTGTGTACATGACTATTGATGAGTGGTTCACTGTGTACATGACTACTGATGTGTGGTTCACTGTGTACATGACTACTGATGTGTGGTTCACTGTGTACATGACTATTGATGTGTGGTTCACTGTGTACATGACTACTGATGTGTGGTTCACTGTGTACATGACTACTGATGAGTGGTTCACTGTGTACATGACTACTGATGTGTGGTTCACTGTGTACATGACTACTGATGAGTGGTTCACTGTGTACATGACTACTGATGTGTGGTTCACTGTGTACATGACTATTGATGAGTGGTTCACTGTGTACATGACCATTGATGAGTGGTTCACTGTGTACATGACTACTAATGTGTGGTTCACTAAGTACATGACTATTGATGTGTGGTTCACTGTGTACATGACTACTGATGTGTGGTTCACTGTGTACATGACTACTGATGTGTGGTTCACTGTGTACATGACTACTGATGTGTGGTTCACTGTGTACATTTACCACGTGACACCTGTGCCACCCAACATTGACCACGTGACACCTGTGTCACCCAACATTGACCACGTGACCCCTGTGCCACCCAACATTGACCAGGTGCCACCTGTGCCACCCAACATTGACCACGTGACCCCTGTGCCACCCAACATTGACCACGTGACCCCTGTGCCACCCAACATTGACCACGTGACCCCTGTGCCACCCAACATTGACCACGTGACCCCTGTGCCACCCAACATTGACCAGGTGCCACCTGTGCCACCCAACAGTGCCGCCCAGGAGCGTGTGGGTGACGTCTGAGGGCCGGACGGTCAAGAGTGTGGTGGGACCTTATCGTGAAGGAGACATGGCCGCCCTCACCTGTGTGAGCCTTGGTGGTGAGTATCTCTCTCTCTCTCTCTCTCTCTCACTGTCACTATATCTTTAACAACAGTACATGTATGAGAGTCTTGAATATATATAACAAATAATCCACTAAACGGTTGAATAAATTTAAATTATCCAAAATTTAAGGGATATTTAATTTTGTTTTGCTGTTATTTTTCATGTTCTTTCCTTAACAAATAAAATAAATGTACATTAGATCTTAAGTAAAATGAAAGTAAACCTGAATTATTTTGAGTTAGGTCTCAGGTTAACAAGACAATGTTTACATAGTGTACAATATGTACAATGTTTACAGTGTGTACAATGTTTACAATATGTACAATGTTTACAGTGTGTACAATGTTTACAATGTTTACAATGGCTACCATGGTGGAGGTTAGGTTTGGTTAGGCTAGAGTTGGATACGAATCACTCTGATCCACATTAACTTAAACAAAAGATCACTTGTATTAAGTGACTATAACATCAGAACTACCTAGTCCTTGTACCAGCCCCTCTGACCACTCAGGGGGACGGTCACTCATCCTCAGGTGGTATTAGGTCTAACACCACTAGAGTTACGACACTTCATCTTGTTCCAGCCCCTCTGACCACTCAGAGGGACGGTCACTCATCCTCAGGTGGTATTAGGTCTAACACCACTAGAGTTACGACACTTCATCTTGGTACTAAACTGAATCTGAAGAGGAGAGAGTGATAAAGGAGTCAAAGGGTGGAGTAGGAGGAAGATAGGGGATAAGGGAGGAGAGAGAGAGAGAGAGAGGGAGAGGGGGGAGGGGGAAGAGAAGGGAGGTAGGGGAGGTTATCTTGAGGTTATCTTGAGATGATTTCGGGGCTTTTAGTGTCCCCGCGGCCCGGTCCTCGACCAGGCCTCCACCCCCAGGAAGCAGCCCGTGACAGCTGACTAACACCCAGGTACCTATTTTACTGCTAGGTAACAGGGGCATAGGGTGAAAGAAACGTTGCCCATTGTTTCTCGCCGGTGCCTGGGATCGAACCCAGGACCACAGGATCACAAGTCCCACGTGCTGTCCGCTCGGCCGACCGGCTCCCTGGAGTACAAGAAGGATGGAGATGGGGAGTGTAGGGAAGAGGGAGAAGGGGGGGGGGAGAAGAGAGAAAAAGAAAGGATTGTATTCTGTTTCACGGGAAATTGAATATCTATCGCAATACTTTGCTGTTATTCTTATTGATCTCATTTTATGGTCTATCACACCATCAAATGTCTTTGTGAAGTCTGTAGATTCTAGGCAATGTTAAGTACCTCTCTTGTGCCCTGAAGTGTACTGAAGTCTGGTGTGTACACATGGCTTCCAGTCGTGAAGTCTTAGGACTTTCTTAGGACCTTCCAGTCTTAAGACCCTGTGGACCTTGCCAAAAGACCTCTCAGCCTTAAGACCTTCCGGTCCTAGGACCATCCAGATGTCGGTCCACATAAACCGGACTTCCAGTAAGTTAAGAGGACCGGATGAGACACTTGGGTCTCCTGGCACCGGCCTCCATCGACCAGAAAGCCGGATAATAACAGCAATCACCGTTGAGGCCGGATAAGAGCAGTCGTCAACGCCGGATAAGGAGGAGCTATTCTCGTGAGCGCCGGATATGAGAGCCCATTTCCCTGATTCTCTTCATAGTTCTCGCTTGTCAAGAAGAGCCCCAAGGTCTGCCCTGGGAGGCTTCCAGCCCTGAAGTGTAGGTGGGGGTGTCTCCAGTCTGCTCCAGCTGTAGGCCTCACAGACACCTACTCCAGCCTATCCCTTCAAGGATAGTCACTAGACAATAGGATAAACCCACCAGTTTCTAAACTAAGAAATAGGATATCATTAACATTTCTGAGAACCCTACGTATAATATTATTTCCTCCCAACCTATCTTATCTCTTATCTCGCGTCTCTCCTCACAGGCTCACCTCCTCCTCACGTCGTGTGGTATCTTGGAGGACGACTCATCGACAGTCAGATGGACGAGCCTCCGGAGGATAACATGCTCCGCCCGAGGGCCTCTGGGGCGGTGATTCACGGGCCCTCGGAGCCCCTCACCAGGGCCAACACGCTCAGCTTGGGGCCCTTCACTCGCAGTGACCTCAAGACCCTAGTGACCTGTGAGGTTACCAACACCAACCTCACTACTCCACTCAGCGCTGCTGTTATGGTCGACATGAACTGTGAGTTTCCTCTAACTGTGAGTTACCTCTAACTGTGAGTTTCCTCTAACTGTGAGTTTCCTCTAACTGTGAGTTACCTCTAACTGTGAGTTTCCTCTAACTGTGAGTTACCTCTAACTGTGAGTTTCCTCTAACTGTGAGTTACCTCTAACTGTGAGTTTCCTCTAACTGTGAGTTACCTCTAACTGTGAGTTTCCTCTAACTGTGAGTTACCTCTAACTGTGAGTTACCTCTAACTGTGAGTTTCCTCTAAGTGTGAGTTTCCTCTAACTGTGAGTTTCCTCTAACTGTGAGTTACCTCTAACTGTGAGTTTCCTCAAACTGTGAGTTACCTCTAACTGTGAGTTTCCTCTAACTGTGAGTTACCTCTAACTGTGAGTTTCCTCTAACTGTGAGTTACCTCTAACTGTGAGTTACCTCTAACTGTGAGTTTCCTCTAACTGTGAGTTTCCTCTAACTGTGAGTTACCTCTAACTGTGAGTTATTACTAACTGTGAGTTACCACTAGCTGTGAGTTATTACTGTGAGTTACCACTAACTTGAGTTACCACTAACTGTGAGTTACCAGTAGCTGTGAGTTATTACTGTGAGTTACCACTAACTTGAGTTATCACTAACTGTGAGTTACCACTAACTGTGAGTTACCACTAACTGTGAGTTACCACTAATTGTAAGTTACTACTAACTGTGAGTTACCACTAACTGTGAGTTACCACTAACTGTGAGTTACCACTAACTGTGAGTTACCACTAACTGTGAGTTACCACTAGCTGTCAGTTACCACTAACTGTGAGTTACCACTAACCTGAGTTACCACTAACTGTGAGTTACTACTAACTGTGAGTTACCACTAACTGTGAGTTACCACTAACCTGAGTTACCACTAACTGTGAGTTACCACTAACTGTGAGTTACCACTAACTGTAAGTTACCACTAACTGTGAGTTACCACTAACTGTGAGTTACCACTAACTGTGAGTTACCACTAACTGTGAGTTACCACTAGCTGTGAGTTACCTCTAACTGTGAGTTACCACTAACTGCAACTAAAGGTAACCACCAACACTCTCTCTCTCAGCTAGGTAACTTTCCCTCCACTTTCTCCCAACAAATTCTGTAATGACTGTCTTCGCTGGTGTAGAGAGGACGGCGCCCCCTCGCACCCAATTACTTGTACACAATGCCTCAGTTGAGAGTCGTGGTGATACGGACCCATCGAGGAACCTTTGTTTGTGAGGCCAATACCAATTGTACATGTTGACAGTGTATTGACAGGTGACAGCGGTCAATGACAGCACCACAGGGAAGGTTCAGGCGGGAACGACTCCGAGACTGAAAGTTGATTTTTATTATGTAATGAGAAAAACCTTTAAAAAAAGTAAGTAATTTTAGTAAGTAAAAAAATGTTAATATTTTGGTAGATGCGCCGTTCAGGATAAGGATTTGGGAATGGGACCGGGGGTTAAGAATGGTACCCAACCACTTGTGGACGGTCGGGGATTGAACGCCGACCTGCATGACGCGAGACCGTTGCTCTACCGTCCAGCTAAGCATGAGTGATCATCTGAGGTGTTAGAGGAAGGAGAAGTGTGTGTAGCTGATTATTGTTCAAGAACATGAAGTGTTTTAATAAGAATTAGGAAAGGAGATCAATAAAGAGACCAGAGCAGAACATTCTTAGCACCAAAAGAAAGTTTCAGACGAAAGAAATATTTTGATTAAACAATTTTCGCGAATGAAATGAGTTTCTGACTTATTGAAGAACTGTAGAAAACGGAAGAAATGCCAATGAGGAATATAATATTAGAAGCTGAGGAGACGTGGATGGGAAACATTGGAAATGCGAGACATGTGTCACATCTTAAATGTAAATTATGGTAGGAGGAAAGGCCGTGGATTGACAAGGGCCATATAGGGCCATATAGGCCATATAGGGCCATATAGGGCCATATAGGCCATATAGGGCCATATAGGCCATATAGGCCATATAGGGCCATATAGGGGCATATAGGCCATATAGGCCATATAGGCCATATAGGGCCATATAGGGCAGACAAAAAGAAGAATTCCCGGTCACAGAACTGTGGAAATGAACCACAAAATATGAAATATAACATGAGGTTCATATCCTCGTTGAATGATCAAGAAAAATCGAGCAGAAGAGGTTCCAATTCCTCGTTACATATTCTGCTGCTAAACTACCTGTTATCTTTCGTAATGTTAATGATGACAAGTGACGGTGTGATATCTTCACGATATCACACCATCTGTGTGATATCTTCACGATAGACTTCTGTGTCTCTGGTTGAATAGGTTCCCAGGAGGTGTGATTCTTGACACATTGTCTCTCTCTATTTCATTCTCTTTCAGATATATATTCTTTTGTTCTTTATTTCCCCATTCATACAATATTTCGCATTCCTGGACACACTTATTTCTTCTCTGTCTGTCTGTCTGTCTGTCTGCCTGTCTGTCTGTCTGTCTGTCTGTCTGTCTGTCTGTTTGTCTGTCTGTCTGTCTGTCTGTCTGTCTCTCTCTCTCTCTCTCTCTCTCTCTCTCTCTCTCTCTCTCTCTCTCTCTCTCTCTCTCTCTCTCTCTCTCTCTCTCTCTCTCTCTCTCTCTCTCTCTCTCTCTCCTGTTCATATAAATATAATAATATTGTTCCATCATGATTTACTCAATTTAGTTCTGAAACTTTCACTGTATAGACATATTACCAGAGACAAACTAAATTTGTTATGATCCTCTACTCTGGCGCATATCTAACCTTTCTCTCCATCAGCTGAGGGCCTTCCTCACTATTGTCTCTATCAAGTGAGCCCAGCAACAGATAGTGAGAGATCAGCTACAGATAGTGAGAGACAGTGTGAGGGAGAGAGCCCAGCAACAGATAGTGAGGGACAGTGTGAGGGGGGAGAGCCCAGCAACAGATAGTGAGGGACAGTGTGAGGGGGGAGAGCCCAGCAACAGATAGTGAGAGACAGTGTGAGGGAGAGAGACCAGCAACAGATAGTGAGAGACAGTGTGAGGGGGGAGAGCCCAGCAACAGATAGTGAGAGACAGTGTGAGGGAGAGAGCCCAGCAACAGATAGTGAGAGACAGTGTGAGGGAGAGAGCCCAGCAACAGATAGTGAGAGACAGTGTGAGGGGGGAGAGCCCAGCAACAGATAGTGAGAGACAGTGTGAGGGAGAGAGCTCAGCAGTAGAGTGCAAGGAATAACACTAATCCTCACTCTAAGTACACAGCGTAATACGAGCCCCTTTCTTCATGACCTGGAATTAAGTGCTTGTCTGAAACGCCACGAGTTGAACTACAGTCTTAGCGTGGGAAGAAGCAACCAAAGAAAGTGTGAATAGCAAGTGTGAGTGAAAGTGTGAGAGAAAGTGTGAGTGAAAGTGTGAGAGAAAGTGTGAACAGCAAGTGTGAGTGAAAGTGTGAGAGAAAGTGTGAGAGAAAGTGTGAGAGAAAGTGTGAGTGAAAGTGTGAGAGAAAGTGTGAGTGAAAGTGTGAGAGAAAGTGTGAGAGAAAGTGTGAGAGAAAGTGTGAGTGAAAGTGTGAGAGAAAGTGTGAGAGAAAGTGTGAGAGAAAGTGTGAGTGAAAGTGTGAGAGAAAGTGTGAGTGAAAGTGTGAGAGAAAGTGTGAGTGAAAGTGTGAGAGACAGTGTGAGTGAAAGTGTGAGAGAAAGTGTGAGTGAAAGTGTGAGAGAAAGTGTGAACAGCAAGTGTGAGTGAAAGTGTGAGAGAAAGTGTGAGAGAAAGTGTGAGAGAAAGTGTGAGTGAAAGTGTGAGAGAAAGTGTGAGTGAAAGTGTGAGAGAAAGTGTGAGTGAAAGTGTGAGAGAAAGTGTGAGTGAAAGTGTGAGAGAAAGTGTGAGTGAAAGTGTGAGAGAAAGTGTGAGTGAAAGTGTGAGAGAAAGTGTGAGAGAAAGTGTGAGAGAAAGTGTGAGTGAAAGTGTGAGAGTTAGGCTGCAGACAGCAGGGGTTAAGTATCAATAGTCGCGGGTGCTTGTGTGTTGATCACTGGGACGTAGAACTGGTTTATCTCTCTTATCAGCGCCGTGGAGGAGGAATGATTGTGAGGAGCTGTGAACTACAGAACTCCGGATAACAGGAGAGAATGTTGAGAAGGATGATTAAAGGTGTGTAGGGCTAGAGAGAGAGAGAGAGAGAGAGAGAGAGAGAGAGAGAGAGAGAGAGAGAGAGAGAGAGAGAGAGAGAGAGAGAGAGAGAGAGAGAGAGAGAGAGAGAGAGACCTGAGACTTTTACAGCACAATAATCATTGAATACACCAACGCTGAGAGTGATAAAATATGGCTGTAGATTTCCTATAAATTACTGCATATTGTTTTAAGAGCCGGGTTCTGTTGTGTGTATAAAGATGGTGTAAGACAATAAGAACCTAACAATTAACTGCAGAAGGGCTGTTGGTTCATACGAGGCAGCTCCTATTGGTTCATACGAGGCAGCTCCTGTTGGTCCATACGAGGCAGCTCCTATTGGTCCATACGAGGCAGCTCCTATTGGTCCATACGAGGCAGCTCCTATTGGTCCATACGAGGCAGCTCCTGTTGGTCCATACGAGGCAGCTCCTGTTGGTCCATACGAGGCAGCTCCTATTGGTCCATACGAGGCAGCTCCTGTTGGTCCATACGAGGCAGCTCCTATTGGTTCATACGAGGCAGCTCCTATTGGTTCATACGAGGCAGCTCCTATTGGTCCATACGAGACAGCTCCTATTGGTCCATACGAGGCAGCTCCTATTGGTCCATACGAGGCAGCTCCTATTGGTTCATACGAGGCAGCTCCTATTGGTCCTTACGAGACAGCTCCTATTGGTTCATACGAGGCAGCTCCTATTGGTCCATACGAGGCAGCTCCTATTGGTTCATACGAGGCAGCTCCTATTGGTCCATACGAGGCAGCTCCTATTGGGCCTTAGAAGCACATTTTTTCCTACTTTATAAAGTGAATGGTACAAAGTGCTACTATCTAACCGCTTAGT